GGGGGTTAGATGGAGTGGTGGGGGAGGGAGCCGGAGAGGAGAGGAGGGAAAACTGATCAGTATGTAAAAAAATGTTAATTGAATAAAATTTTTAAAAAGGATGCCTCTACTTGAAGGGCACTGGATCTACAGGTCTGTACCACCACACCCAGCTCCAGCAAATCTTGAAAAGGCCTTTACAAAGACAGGTTCTCCTTAGGAATGATCATCTACCCCAAACCCCCATTTGTAAGGAGCTCTTCCGTGTGAATGACAGGTTGCATAACCCTTATACAAAGAAAACTGTTTGGGACCAGGGTTGTTCCTGAGACAGACACAGGATGTTACAAATATGTGAGCTCTCTTGTGGATGGGACGTGAGTCTAGGCATGAAGTCCACTATGTTTACATACACTTTACACACAGCCTGAAGAGAATTCTTTAAACAGTCTTTAGGCACTGGTTTTTAATACAATCTGCTACATGAAATCAGGTGTAGAATTTTCTACTTAACACATGTCACTCAAATTGTTAGAAGTAGAACATGTTGGGTTTAGGTTTTTAGACTAGGGACACTCAAACTGTACATCTACAGCATCTTACCTCTTTGACTATTAAGAAATACAGCACAACCAGAAAGAAAAAGTCTCACAGGATCCTAACTAAATCTAAAAACAAGTGGCCTCAAAGTCTAGGTTCCTACCTCACTGTTCACTTGTGTTCATGTGGAAAGAATTATTTTAGTAAGTGCTCTTCTACAACACCTTTTATAAATGCATCTAATTTAAGTGTGTTTTTCACAGTGTCTTTTTAAAACGTATCACATGAAACGGCTCTGGCACTCACTCTTGCCATTTCCCTGCTCTTAAAGAAGAACACTCCAGTTCAGGAGGAAAAAGAAACAATTCTATCAGAAGATCCTAAATTTCCTGCTCCAGGTCAGAGGACAGATTCCTCCCCCATAAATCACAAGAGCTTATCAACTAGCTTTAAAACTTTTCTTCTTCAGTTAACTACAATTAATCAATTTCAACAAAATTGCATTGTTAACCTCGTCAAGCCTCTTGATGACTCTGTAAATTAAATACCTACACTTTTAAACTTTTCATTGGAATATATCAATGTCAATCCAAGCTTGTATTTTTATTATTTTGCTATCATATCGAGCAACCCTAATTTGAAGATCTGAAACCTAAAATGTTCCTAAACTGAAACCTGGATGCTCAGAAAATTTCAGAGTTCAGATATGAAAGGTACTCAACCAGTAAAGTCTACAAATATTCCAAAACCCCAAAACCTCTAAAATCTGAAATACTTCTGATCACACAAGCCCATGAAATGGCAATTAGTCAGTACTCGCCACTCTGCTAACACTTACCACTTCCATAAAAATCCCTGTACCTGTGGCCTTGCAGACATTCCAAGTTTTTGTAGCACAAAACAATGTCACAGACTTTAACAATGTCTTAGACCTAAAAGATTCTCAAATGTATAGTGTCTACTGATTATCACTGAAGACTAGCAATTAGCATAATTTTTATCATTTTGAATTAATTTTTTCATCGTATCAGTATACAAAGTTTCAAGTATACAAGAGAAATGAAACCATATTATTCACTACATGATTAGGCAAGAGAAGCTGGGTGGGTGTCGCTGGCACATGCCAGTACCTCTGCACTCACTCGGCTGAGGTAAGAAAGGATCACCAGGTTGAGGTAAGCCTAGCCTAAACAACAAAACCCTCTTTCAAAAACACAAAAATTAAAAAGCGAAACAAAAAGCTTGGGCACAGGATATATATACATTGATATATATATATACATATATATACATATATACATATATATATCACACTCACTTGTACTCATATGCATAAAAATAAATAAATCTTTCTTTAAAGTGAAAATTCAGAAAGTGATATTCCATTGTTTACTCACTGCATACATTAAAAGTACTGTTTTCCCCTGTGACTAGATTGGGTTCTGCCCTAGGGCCTATGACCAATGTTATTATTCTAAATGAGACCTGTAGACCAGAGCACCTCTCAGCCCCATCAGAGAAGCTTCTCTTTGCGGTGGATGGCGATTAATATTAATTAATTAATATTAATAATAATTGATCAATTGGTCAACATCTAAAGAGTGTAGAGACTATGCAGTGCTCAGCCATAAATGAGGCAAACATATCACATCCCTCCCTCCCAAAGCTCAGGAAGGAAAAGGGGGTGTATTAGTCAGGGAATGACTTCCAACAAGGGCTAGTTATGAATGGAAAGTCCAAGAATCTAGTAGCTGCTCAGTCCCCCAAAGCTGAATGTCTCAGCTCTGGGACTGCTGGGATTTTGAAGGAAATGAATGTGTTGATGGAGGTGAGGGCAAGCAGGCAAAGAACAAACTCCACTGTCCTTATATAGGCTTCCAGTAGAAGGTGTGGCCCTGATTAAAGGTGTGCCTTCCAGCCTCAAGATCGAATCACAAGTGTATCCTCCAGTTCTGGATTACAGTTCTTTCCAAGTTGACAACCAAGAACAGCCATTACAGGTGGGTAGATTGTAAGAGCCAGAAGTAGTTGGTAACACCAAAGAAAGTGTTTTCCAGAACACAACAAGGCAGATGCCCATATGAGCTCCCAGCAATTTCCATGGTGTCCACAAGAGCTATGCAAGCTGCAGCCAAGCAAAAATCACATTACAAAGTGGGCATCAGCTCCTCCACTAGCTGAGGAGCCAGTGGCACTGGACAGCTGCTGGGAGAGGGAGAGTCGGTTTCTCTAACAGTGTGACACCTGGGAAGTCAGCCCATGCCAGAGCAGGCCCCACTCTGGGAAACACACTGGACTGGATGGGGAAAGAAAAAAAGGAAGAAATCTCAAAGTGGGGAGGGAAGTGATATGAGGTGGAAGAGGATGGTTACAGGAAGAATTGAGGGAATGAATGTGTTCAAAACACATTGTATGAAATTCTCACATAAGAAAAAAATTAAATACTATTTTCTTATTAGCCTAACTTTAAATAAAAAAAATAAAAAAAATAAACTAGAAAATTATTGAAAAAAAATGGCCAGGTATGGTAACACACTATAATACTAACGCCCTAGAAGCTGAAGCAGGAGGACCTGATTTATAACTTTTAAAGCTCTTTGCTTGGCTGAAGTCTGCCAAAAACAATATAGTTCAAGAAATAAATCTAAATTATATAATGAAGTGTGCAGCCATCTCAGAGCCACCAGGGATGTAAAACTGGATGTAAAACTAAAAAGAATAACTGTGACAAGGTTGGTAGGGATGTAGAGAATCTAACAGCTGGTCAAAGTCTACGAGGGTCCAACCACTGAAAAAACTGGTGCAGAACACACAGAGCAGTGTAGGATTCCACCGGAATGTGTCAGGTATGTCTGTGGTGGTTTGAAAGAAAATGGCCCCCAAAAGGAGTGGCACTATTAGGAGATGCGACCTTGTTGGAGTGGGTGTGGCCTTGTTGAGAAAGTGAATCACTGTGCAGGCAGGCTTTGAGGTCTCATATATGCTCAAGCCACGCCCAGTGAGGCAGACCACTTCCTGTTACCTGTGAGTCAAGATGTAAGAACTCTCAGCTCCTTCTCTAGCACCATGTCTGCCTGCATGCTGCCTTGCTTCCTGCCATGACCATAATGGACTGAACCTCTGAACTGTAAGTGAGCCACCACAATTAAATGTTCTTCTTTATAAGAGTTGCTGTGGTCATGGTTGTCTCCCCACAGCAATAGAAACCCCAACTAAGACAACATCTAAGAGCATTCCAACAGTTCTTAGGTAAAGAAAACCTGCCAACCCCGTATGACAGCACACACCAATAATCCCAGCACGAGGAAGACAGAGTGAGAAATACTGTGGGTTGAAGACCCCGGGGTTGCAGACACCAAAGACAAATCATTCAAAACTGTATTTCCATTTGGTTTTGTTTGCTTTGCTTTGTCTTATTGGTCTTTTGCTTGTTTTGTTCTGATTTTGGGGGTTTGTTGCTGTTCTCTAAGACAGAGAACATAAGCTAGGTGGGTAGAAAGGATCTGGAAGGAGTTGACAGGAAATATGATCAAAATGTATTTTGTGAAAAAAGTTAATTAAAAAAACCCAGAAACTATGTCGTCCACACACACTGGTTTATCCAGATACTTCCCACTCCCCAAAGCAACACATTAAGGAAAGAATGGAATAGAGCAAAGCCTCCTGGGAGAAGCCGCTCATACATGGTCAACAGCTGGCAGCAGGCTGTGGCTCTGACGTCTGTGCCTGGCCTCCTGCTCTGAGCAGCAACAGAGGCTTCCACCTCACTTACCAAGGCATTGTAACATGTGGACCCTGACATCAACACCAGCCCCTAAACTCTCTAGTGAGGCATAAGACACTAATAAAAATGCGTTCTGTAAGTCTGGCCTGGATTTTCATCTTATTCCTAGTCACTGCATAACAATGTGTTAGTCATCCAAGTACACGACAGTACCCCCCAAAATTATACTGCCTAATAATATCAAAGTTGTCATAGTTTATTAATGATGCTATGATATTCCTACAATGAAGGAATCAATATTTCTTACAATAGATCTTAGTCATCAGCAATATATGGCTGAAAATAACTACAGGAGCAATCTGTACTAATGCTGTAGAAGACTGTCCATTCACACCTTCATGATGATTTCTCAGCGAGGCCATACTTAGTAACCACTCACTTGTTAGACAGACTTAGTGAGTTGAAAGAGAAAACAAGGTTCAAAACTGACAATTTACATCAACCATCATTTAAGAGACAGATCAACTTTGGATCTCAATAGATTTCCAACCAAATGGCAATTTAAAAAAAAACAAGAAAATAATATTTCTACAGAAATTTAAACCGGGATTTTTGTTTTGTTTTGTTTTTCATGACAGGGTTTCTCTGTGTATCCCTGGCTGTCCTAGAACTCGTTCTATAGCCCAGGCTGGCCTCAGATTCAAGGATCCGCCTGCCTCTGCCTCCTAAGTGCTGGGATTAAAGGCGTGCGCCACCACTGCCCAGCTAAACCTGGATATTTCCAAAAGAAACTGCTAAGCCGGGCGGTGGTGGCGCACGCCTTTAATCCCAGCACTCGGGAGGCGGAGCCAGGCGGATCTCTGTGAGTTCGAGGCCAGCCTGGGCTACCAAGTGAGCTCCAGGAAAGGCGCAAAGCTACGCAGAGAAACCCTGTCTCGAAAAACCAAAAAAAAAAAAAAAAAAAAAAAAAAAAAAAACTGCTAATAAATTGTAACACCAATTGCACTACAGTTGCCAACAAGCCTGAGGACCTGACTTCCAACCCCAGAACCCACGCAGTAGAAGGGAAGAGCCATCAATTACATGTTGTCCTCCACCACAGGGGCACAGTTGTATATGGAAAATAAATAAAGTTACCTATATTTTTAAATTTTAACAGGAGCTCGCACAACGCCTCAGTGTTTAACAGCACATAGTGCTTGCTCTTCCAAAGGACTCAAATTCGGTCCCAATACCCATGCAAGGTGGCTCACAACCACCTGTAACTCCAGTCCAGGGCTGTTGCCTCTGGCCTCTGAAGGTCTATGCATTCATGTGCCAACACCCACGACACAAATACACATAATCGATAAATTAAATAATCATCCTTTACATTTCTAAAAACATCTCCTGGTGTCTTAAGCCAATTTTTTCAATATAACTCGTTCAAACTACTCCATTAAAATAGGTTATATCCCACAGCTGTACCTCTCTGGTGGTGTTAAAAGCTATCAGGTTTAACAATACACCCAAGTAAATAAATATGGACAAACAAAAATTAGAGAAATCTATTTTCTATAATTCTATAGACTAGAAGAGCAAATAACACAGCAACTAGGCTGAGGTACAACTCACTGGTGAAGTCCTTACCAAACACGTCTGAAACCCATATTCAATTCCCTAATGCTATTGTAACCCAACAATAAAAGTACTACGTAAGACATACTTAATGCTGGTAAAAATTAACAGAGTGTTCTGTCAGTAATTACTGACAAATACTAAAACAATTTAGAGACTGAGGATTTTATCCTAAAACACATACTTCACTGAATATTACCATCTAAATGCTAACATGACATAAAGTGCAAGGTGATATGTCAAACGATGAATCTGAAACCAGGAGACAGAGGAGGTATTTCAAAGCATTTGCTCTGATTTCATAAGAGGAGCCCTGAAGAGTCCACCGAAGAGGCCATGGAAGGCTGGAACGACGGCCAGCGAGCAGAGTGCTGGCTGTAGGACCTGAGGACCCCAGTGTAGAGCCTGCAAGCACCACGTTTCTGCCGGGCAGGAGACAACTCCATGGGTGCCCAGAGATGACCGGGCAGCCAGCCTAGACACCCAGTGAGCACTGGGCTCAATGAGAGGCCCTGTCTCAAAAGATAACCCAGAGAGTGACTGAGGAAGACATGCCATTGCTGACCTCCAGCCTCCTCACACATGTTCACCCAAACCTAGACGTGCCCAAACCACACACAAAGACGTCATTCAGAACTACTGGCTCTCCTCCTTATAATGCCCACATGTGGGTAGAGACAGGACATTCAAGTTCTAGGGCATCCCCAACTACAGTCAGCTGGAGTATGAGGACAGCCTGAACTAACTGTCTCAGGGCAGCCATTCAAGAACTTCTGGCATTTCGTAATAGAAAAATGCACTCACTCTGGTATCTGGTGTGTGTAGTTTTTCATATTACATTAATAACTAACCTGTTTTGTTGACTTCTTTGTGCCATTAAAAATCTTCCAGGCCAGCCCGTTGCCACCACTGGCAATGTGTCGACCCACATCAAATTCTCTAGTGACAGGATTTCCCATAACAGCACTAGTGACATCAGCTGTTACTTTTGTAACAGTACTCTTCAATTTATTAAGCATGGACTCCATGGCTGCAGTACTTGGTAGTTCAAGTTACCTAGAAACACAAAAAGTTATGGAAAAACTGAATAGTTTCTACTTGTCTTAGGCACACTTTTTTAAATGTACCCCTTCCCCAAAAGACCACTACAACACCATATAAAGTTGTAAGCTGACTTTTTTGTCTTCAGAAAAATGTAACCATGAGTAGAAATTTTAGTCCAGAACACACTCTTCACAGTAAAAACAAAATAAAAACTTAAAGGATCCAATGTCTCATTCAGTAATAAATCGTGTGTGTGTGTGTGTGTGTGTGTGTGTGTGTGTGTGTGTGTGTGAGAGTGACTATTGAACCCTGAAATGATCTGAAACCATTTTCTAAAAGAAAAGTAGTGCTTGGTACAGTGATGTGACCCACAGTCCCAGTTACTCATGACACTGAGTCAGGAGAATCCCTTTAGTCCAGGAGTTCAAAATCAACCTGAGCAGCATTAGTCTGAAATCATCTCAAAAAAGAAAACAAGCCATGCCTGTGGTTCACACCTATGAAACAAGTTCTTGGAAGGCTAAGGCAGGAGAGCTGCTACAAACTGAGGCCAATCTGGCCTTCAGAGTGAGACAGGCCTCGGAAGAGGAGAACAATGATATATATTGTTTGTTTTTGCTCTTTTGGGGAGGCCTCTTACCCAGCTCCCAAATAGATCACACAAGGAGGCTTATTCTTAATTATAAATGCCCGACCTCAGCATGGCTGTTTCTTGCCAGCTTTCCTTAACTTGAATTATCCCTTCTACCTTTTGCCTCTGGGCTTTTCCAATTCTCTTATGTAAATTTTATTCCATAGCTTGCTGGGTAGCTGGGTGGCTGGCCCCTGGAGTCCTCCTCCTTTGGGTACTTCTTTCTTTCAGATTTCTCCTTCTATATAGTCTCTCTGCCAGCCAGCCCCGCCTAGCCTTTCTCCTGCCCTGCTATTGGCTGTTCAGTTCTTTATTAGCCCATCAGGTGTTTCAGACAGGAAAAGTAACACAGCTTCACAGAGTTAAACAAATGCAACATAAACAAAAGTAACACACCCTAAAATAATATTCTATGCCAGGCAGCGGTGGCGCACGCCTTTAATCCCAGCACTCGGGAGGCAGAGGCAGGTGGATCTCTGTGAGTTCAAGGAATGGTGCCAAAGCTACACAGAGAAACCCTGTCCCGGAAAAAAATAAATAATAATAGTAATACTATTCCGTAACACAACAATGAGGAGCAGGAACAGAAAAACACTGATAGCAAAGGGAGGGGGATTAAAATGGAAAAAGAAAATGTACAAAAGCTAGGGAGATGGCCGAGTAGGTAAACCGTGTCACACAGGCCCGACAGCCCTAGAACACACCTGAAAAAACAGCTACAGTAGAGAGCACCCATGCTTCCAGCACCGCTACAGGAGGGACAGAGACAGGAGGATACCCAGGAGCTCTGGGCCAGCTAACTGGGCACACAGTGAACAAAAAATACCCTGCCTCCAAGAGACAGAAGACCAGAACCAGCCCGAGGCTGTCCTCTGGCCAGCACAGGCAGCCACAGTGAGGCTTCTCACTCTCTTCCCTCCCTCACAGCTCCTCCCTCTTTCTTGCAGGACACACACAAATAGATAAGCGTGAGGTCATAAAATGTACTTAATTTATGAGACTTTGGCCAGGCAGTGCTGCACGCCTTTAATACCAGCATTTGGGAGGCAGAGGCAGGAGGATCTCTGTGAGTTCAAGGCCACCCTGTTCTAGAGAGTGAGATCCAGGACAGGCACCAAAACTACACAGAGAAACCCTGTCTCCAAAAATAAATAAATTATGAGGATTTGATATAATTCAGTGTTTTTGATGATCATTTATTAGTAATTGCTTAGTAAACATAATCAGTAACTTTTGTTAATGATTAACAATTGTTACATTTAACGTTTCTCATTTAAAAATGTTATCTGCTGTCTCAAGGAAGTTTTCTTCAAACTAGAGCATCCCTAAGTCTGTAATTACAGGAAATTTTTTCAGAGAAGACATGGGCTTAGTGTGGGAGGCCAGCTCCCACCTTTTGATGGGTTCTTATGAGAGAGGGATAAGAAAATATTAGAGACCTACCTGACGGGAAGATGGAAACACAGGATAGCTTCATGAGGGCCTGAATTAATACCCAACAGCCTTTTCCGTTTATTCAAAAGGACTTTTTATAACAATGCCAAGGGGTGGGGCAAAAGACTTCCCCCTTGCAAGATCAAAGCACACCGCACAGCCAAGTGTAGCCCCTTCCAAACACCTGGTAACCACGCCCATGGTCAAATCATCCTCTTATTCACCCCTGCTGGGTAAAGCAAGCTCAGATTCTGGAACTGAGTCAGTTCTCACTAGGAACCTCTGTGGGTCTCCACAGCTTAGACAATTCAAAGTAGAGGTTTCTAACCTAAAGTCAGATAAAGAATTCAGAGAGAGAGCCAGGCATGATGATGAATGCCTTTATTCCCAGAAATTGAGAGGCAGAGGCAGGTGGATATCTGTGAATTCGAACCAGTCTGGTGTACATAGAGAGCTCCAGGACAGCCAGAACTACATAGAGACCCTGTCTCAAAAAAGAAAAACAAAAAAGTGAAGAAAAAAGAATCCAGAGAGAATTGGAGGTATCATTAGAACCCCATGTTAGATTTTGTTTATTCAAGCATTGAGAGAGAGAGTCCTCAGCATAGTTTTATAAATCTTTTTTTTTTAAGATTTATTTATTATGTATACAGTATTCTGCCTGCATGTGTCCCTGCAGGCCAGAAGAGGGCATCAGATCTCATTACAAGTGGTTCTGAGCCACCACGTGGTTGCTGGGAATTGAACTCAGGAAGGACCTCTAGCAGTTGGTGCTCTTAACCACTGAGCCATCTCTCCAGCCCTAAATCTTTTTAAATTATTTCAAATTCCATCAGTTTCCTTTCTAGCCCTAAATATTTCACACTGTGTATTAATATTACTCAATCATGCCGGGCGGGTGGTGGCGCACGCCTTTAATCCCAGCACTCGGGAGGCAGAGGCAGGCAGATCTCTGTGAGTTCGAGGCCAGCCTGGTCTCCAAAGTGAGTTCCAGGAAAGGCGCAAAGCTACACAGAGAAACCCTGTCTCTAAAAACCAAAAATAAGAAAAAAAAATTACTCAATCAGCTGACTATAATGAAAGAGAAAACAAAGAGTAAGTCTGCCCTCTTCATTTGCAGCACCAAACAGGCAGCATGGACCTATAATCCCCAAATTTAGAGATGGAAAAATATTTCAAAAAATAATATGCAGTTCTTTTCCAAATTTCATCGAACTATACAAAGTTCCAAGGAACTCAGTAAACCACAGAAAAGGATAAACACAAAGAAAAACATGCCTAAAACTATCACATGGAGTAACTCAAAATCAGGGACCGAGTCTTAAAGTGTCCACAGGAAACATGTCTCGGAATTTACACCATAAACTGTGGAGGTACAGAATAACTGAACGAGGTCTGTTCAGTGCTGAAGTACTTCACTGAGGCTGGAGAGGTGGCTACGATGGCTGCTGCTCTTCCAGAGCACCTGGGTTCAGTTTCCAGCACCCACTGGTGGCTCACAACCATGCTTAACTCCAGGCCCAGGAGATCCAACACCCTCTTCTCTGTGGCCACCAGGCACACTTATGGTACACATACATCCACATTCAGGCAAAACACTCACACATAAAACAAATCTTATTTTTTAGAAAAAGTAATAGTTTACCACAAATTACATAGGTTAGGAGAAAAACTTTCAAAAATCAAAGTAAAATAAAGACATCCAGGAAAAAATAACTTTTAAATTCCACTGAAGAGGTAGCAATATCAAACTACTTAAAAAGAAAGATTCAACTATAAGCTGCTTAGAGGAAAATACACTAAAAATACAAAGGTGTGTGAAAGTCCAACAAAATGGCAGAGATATACTAATACAAGCACAACAGACTACAACACAAATAGAACATCTTATAATAACAAAGCTATCAATTCATCATCAACTGTGAGTGTCTATACACCCAACAAGACAGCTTTGAAATAAATGCAGAAAAAAAGGACAGAATTAAAAGAAAAAAAATCCACCATTTTTGTTGGAGACATCAAGAGTTATTAAGGCTGGCCTTGAGGCACAGGCCTGTAATCACAGCTACCTAGAAAGCTGAGGGAGAGGATTACAAGTTCAAGGCTAGCCTGGGAAACTTAGTGAGACCCTATCTCCAATTAACAAGTAGAACGGGGGCTAAAGATACAGCCCAAAGGCACAACACTTCTCTAGCATGTAGAAGACCCTAGATGATTCTATCCTAGTAACACTAACACACACACACACACACACACACACACACACACACACACGGGAGTGGGGGTGGTCTAGCTCAGTTAACAGAGAAACATCACATTATTAACTCATGACTAGGCATAAAGCTCAGCGGTAGCAAGCGTGTGTACCTATGTTCAAGGCCCTGAGTTCAATATCTGGTACCACACAATAACAAAAACTGTAGGTCCTATACATCTCTGTGATGATATTTACCTAAACACCGTGGCTCGGATTAAATAAAGCACAACCACACTATACAACAATCTAGAAATTAGATCTCTGCAACTATTTCAGCTCTTAAAATCTTCAGATACCATCAACCTGAAAACACACAAAATGTATTTACTGGATACATAAGCAAAATATTTGAAGACCACTGGACTAAAGCAGCATTTGCCTGTATTCTGCTTGCTCTGTTAGTTATATTTATGCAAATATAACCTACTTTTTGCTATTAAAGATTTGAACTACATAAGTGGAAATAGATTAACTTTCCCTTTTTACTGTGATGCTGCATTTTATAAGCAGTCAGAAAATATTGCTATTGGCATTATGAAAACACTTATTTGCTGTGCCAAGCTGCTCTCTGGGAACATCTGCTGCTGACTTTGATAAGGTACAGGAATACAAAATCCTATTCAAAACCAACTGATTCACTCTTCTAGCTCTGCCAGACTAGCACCACATGCATGTTCTGCACATCGTTAT